GTATCACCGATACGATTCACATGTGAAAAGAAAAGTCATAAATTCACATGTGGCAAGAGAAGTCATAAATTAACAAGTGGGAACATAAGTCATAAATTCACATGTAGAAAAAGTCATAAATTCACATGTGGAAAGTTGAGTCTTAAATTCACATGTGGAAGGATAAGTCATAAATTCACATGTGGAAAGATAAGTCATAAATTAACATATGAAAAAATGAGTCCTAAATTCACATGTGGAAAGATAAGTCATAAATTAACATGTAGGAAGATAAGTCATGAATTCACGTATGGAAAAAGTCATAAATTCACATGTGGAAACATGAGTCGTAAATTCACATGTGGAAAGATAAGTCATAAATTTTCAGTAATGAAGAAAACAATTTCGCAATTGGTTTCCACGGCAAATCTGGGCTGAACCTTATTAAGATTTCATGTAATAAATTATATTTGAATGAGATGGATTGGCATTCTTCTCAATTTAATTTCGTCTTCGTAGACGTTTAAATCGACGTTTCATTGATCGAAGCTTGCGCCATCATTTTGTCTAATTTTAATTAATTAACGAGAAACCGGATCAATGGGTTGGGCTTCACCAATTTATCTGCGTTTCACCGGGCACTTTTGTAATGCATGTGTGTTTGCACGTGCATTTGCGAGTGAGTGTGTTTGATACCAAGAAGAGCATTTAATACAGACATAACGAAAATCAAGAAGCCAATATGCTTAAAGCCTCAAATGTCTAATAAATCTATGGTGTCAATTGTGATGTACGAGATCGGAATTTGGAAATTAACGAAATCGCTTGGAAACCAACGAAGAAAAGTAGAAAAATCAATGGAAAGATCCATGCGAGGAAGGAAGTCAGTATGTATCATGAAAAAGACAACGGTAAGGGATATTTCAGATGATTAAACCACAGAAACGGAGGTGAGCGGAACACACCAAGATAAAAGGTTATCAGATGGAGCAAAAGGCTGGTTGACTTGTGGCCGGTGAATATTAAACGCAGTATCAAGAGAACAAACAGAATATTCAGTGATGAGATGTGTTTGCTAGTAAAACAAGGCTGAGAACAGCATAATCGCAGTCGTCATGGAAGAATTTAAGAGATCATTATATATATATATGAAGAAAAATTTGGAAAAAAACAAACAAAAATCCTTAAATGCAATTATGTTGTTTAAAATGAATGAAATGTCGACGTCTGACGTTTCGGTTTAATAAACCTTCTTCAGGACAATATTCATTAAAATACAATTCAATTCAATTTGACAAAGACGATGGACATAAAAACAAGTCTTATCCAAAACAGATAACTGAAAATTTTTAAAATGATCAGCTTTCCGTTTAGCATGGTCACGTTGTCGTCACATGGGCGACGCTTTCAAAACGTATTCCTAAAAAATTTTGGATTATTTTGAATGAAAAAGAAAATGAAAAGAATTCTATTAGGATCAAAAGATTTTTATGTGTATGCTTGTCGAGCATTAATCTCGCTAAAAAAGGGGAAATTCTAAAGAAACCAGGTCTAGTATTCACCGTGCATGAGATGGATATTATACCTGCTTCATAAATCCTCCTGAGATTTTTATTATGAAAATATTTTAATACCTTCACGCAATCGAAATCGAAATTATGATCTGCTTTAGTTGTGTGTACAACTAAAGCATTGTTAAAATTTCCGAGGCGAATATCTCGTTTATGTTCGAAAACAAAGCGTCGCCCATGTGACGACAACGTGACCATGCGAAACGGAAAGCTGATCATTTCAAAAATTTTCAGTTATCTGTTTTGGATAAGACTTGTTTTTATGTCCATCGTCTTTGTCAAATTGAATTGAATTGTATTTTAATGAATATTGTCCTGAAGAAGGTTTATTAAACCGAAACGTCAGACGTCGACATTTCATTCATTTTAAACAACATAATTGCATTTTAAGATTTTTGTTTGTTTTTTCCAAATTTTTCTTCATTCTGTCGGATCTATATCCATTTACATTTGCTTACATATATATATATATATATATATATATATATATATATATATATATATATATCTGTGTGTGTGTGTGTATTATTTTTTGAAATCGATTAAATACGACGTCCGGCTTCCCACAGAATGCCAGGATGTACACAAAGAAATTCTAACTAACACACAGCACATAGCGTCTTCATAATGACTGCGAAAGTTGAAAATACTTGAAGAAAAATAACACGACGAGTTGCTTTCTCTGGTTTCCAGACTGCATGAATTTAAGTGAGCTGCTAGGTTTGCATCTCCGTCATAATGTGTCCAAGTAATTTAAGCTGTCTTTTCTTGATTTTAAGTAATGTCCTTTCTGTTGCCATTTTCTTTAAGACTTCCTTATTGCTTACTTGCTCCGTCCATAGAATTTTCAGTATCTTTCTGTAGAACCAAATTTCTGTTGCCTCTCACCTCGGCTGTCAAGAAATTGTCCAATATCCGCCGCCATATTTGAGGATGTAAACCAAATTGCAATCTCGTGCTCTTTTCTTTGTTTCTAACGAAATTTAAAAGAGTTTTAGGGACAACTACCTAATGACTTCGTAGATGATATGAAAAAATAGCAATTCATTACAAGTGTTGCTATTGAATTGGTTCTATAAAGCATTTAATACGAATTCGTCTTAGACAAATAAAAATTAAAATGAATGAATCGCGGTTGGCTTTTAATAATTTTCCTGTTTCAGTCAGTTAAGCGTAAATAAGATTGAATATTTTTATACATTTTTTAAATCATTGGTACTCTTTTCCGTTTCTTTTTCGAGGTTTGCTCTCTCTCTCTCTCTCTCTCTCTCTCTCTTCTCTCTCGCATCGAGTTGTCCCTTGGGTTGCGTTTCTAATTACTTGTCGCTTCTCAGTAGTCATCCTGTTATTTTCTTTCCTTCTTTAACTTTGCGTGTCTATCGCTAACGAAACAAGGAACAAAAGAAAGGAGAAAATACGCAGTCATTAATATTTATTCTTTTGCCTTCTTCTACGTTCATCATTTCTATAAACACTCTAGCAATATCAAATTCAGATAAATCAATACTAATGAATGATGATAAATGCTTGCTCATTCATGACTACAAAATAACTTTCTTCCTTATTTTTTCTTTCCTTATCTCTCTCTCTCTCTCTCTCTCTCTCTATATATATATATATAATCTATCCATGCGTTCCAATTCGATTTTCTTTTATACAGACTGCATTCCCCTTCGCTTAGCTTTTATTATTGTCAACAGGAGGCCGACAGTTGAATTGTGCACTCAATGGCTAAGCTACGTGGTTAGAGCATAGAAATGTATGCATAAAAGTTTCAGGTTGCGATGAAATTTTTTTTTATTTCTGAAATTAATCGACATCCATATACATAAAATGCAGTGTGTACGTAGAGAAACAATCATTCATATATATATATATATATATATATATATATATATATATATATATATATATATATATATATATATATCTATCAAACACGGTGGATAGGCAAATTTTACAAAGAAAGTTATTGTAAATTTTGCTTCCGCACTCCGTGTGTATATGTATGGTAGAAATTAAGGAGGATTTGAAATAATTAAGTAATTCATCGAGTCTAGAAGAAACCTCAAAAGCAAACGTTTCGTCCTATATTTGGGACTCATCAACAATGTACCTCCACTACCGAGAATTGAAACCTGTACTAACGGGCCTCAGTGATGGTGAGGTAGCGAACTAGACTCGATATTGCGCCGCTCGTTCACATATTCCGTGGTAGAACTCATCCAAGTTTCCTTTACCCAGAGGACTGTGCCTCCGAGAGCCACGACTACCATCACCAAGCCGCTCCATTCAGAGCATTAGAAGCCTGTTCAAGCAAGGATATACAAATGGTAGAAATTAAGGAGGCTTTGAGATCATTAAGTAATTCCTGAATATATATATATATATATATATATATATATATATATATATATATATATACGCGGGGGGGTACCTCGAGGCGGTGTAATGATTGACAAGATTGTCTTGTCGCAATTACGACTGAGTAGTGAGTTCGTTCAGCCTTGTGCCACATCTGAGCTACGCTTGGAAAATCACTATATGTGTGTGTGTAAGTATAAAAATTTCAGATAGAGTATATCTGTAAAAGGACAATTCGTTACCAAGCTCAATTTAAATGTTATTTTACGTTCAAATGACCGAATGAATCGAGACAATTTCTTCGTATTTCATAATGTCGAACCTGGCGAATATAATGAGGCACATGGCGAAATTTGGAACATACTATTATTTTTTTTTTTTTAGTAATGTAAACGGACCACGGAGATTGGATTCAAAGAAAGATTATCTTGAATTACTGTGGTAAATAAAGATTTTATTCACAAAATAACCTGCGATTCGTTCAGATGTTGTTCCTTATATTTTTTTTAAAACTTGAACAAAGATCCATATCTGTCTGGAATTCTAAGCTTTATAAGAGCTACATCATTTCGTAAAATTATCTCCCTCCCTTAAACACAGTAAACAGCGTTTCGAGTAAGACCCGGCGAGCTACGATCTAGGGGCCTTAGCGAGACCATTATAGATTTTTATTAAAAAAAAACAAAACAATTTGCCTTGTAACAGAGTCGATATTAGTTTAACATGTATGCAAAGTTTCATCAATATTGGTTCACGGGTTTAGGCAGCAAATATATTCAGACAAATATACAGAAATTTCCATATATATATATATATATATATATATATATATATATATATATATATATATATATATATATATATATATATAATAATCGACTCTCCTGTCGAGATTCGACGTATGAGGGTCAAAGCAGATCAGTTTCCAGGAAACCGACAGCCCGACACCGGCACATGGGATTTGATTATAGTGGTGAAGGCCTCGTGCAGGACCATCCACACTTTTTGAAGGGACGAATACAGAGACCTGGTGCACCGAATGCCACAAGGTTCCCAAACGACCCTCCGCAGGTTTTGAATTCAGCTTTACATATATAAATATATAATATAGAGAGAGAGAGAGAGAGAGAGAGAGAGAGAGAGAGAGAGAGAGAGAGATTTGTAGTAGGATATAGAATCCAAACTCCAAACAAAAGTTTGATAAATTCGACAAAGCAGAAAACAAAGACACCACCCTAGCGGAAAAATAATAACGATTTAATATTAAAGCGCGCGCGCACACACACACACACATACATACATAGACACACATTTCTATAGTTCTGACCCAAGGAAGCCTCTCTAGTGTGTGCAAAATGTTAGTCAAGTCAAAAAGAAAACTGTTTTCCACTTTCTTCTACTGCAGAGAAAGATTCCTCGGGGGCGAATACGTTTTGTATTTTGCAGCGTTCTGCCCGAAAAACGAAGATAGCGCTGCCTCCCACCCAAATGACGAGAAGACGACGCTGCCTTCCAACCCAAGATTAAATCACGACGACAATGTCTCCTACCCGAAGACGAAAACGCAAAGTTGCACCCCGCACGAAGACTAGAACGCTGCGATGCCTGACTCGATGACGAGTTGAATGCAATGACTCCCAACCGAAGATCAGAACAGAGTGCTGACTCCCAGCCGAAAAAGAAAATACAGCTTTGACTACCTCACTTAGACCCGAACATGGCGAAGCCTCACACCCGAACACGAGAATGCTGTGCTGACTCGCATTTGAAAACTAGAACGCGGCGTTGTATCCCACCCAAAGAGGAGAACACGGCTGAGAAGGAAATTGATACTACATTAATTCCAGCCTGATGAATGGGAAACGTGACGTGGACCGGAGGTAGAAGTGACGAACCATGCATAAATAATCCCATTATTTTTGTCACGTATATTGCTCGTTTTACATTAAAGACACAAAAACATACACTGAAAATATTTTCTTCTATATTTTCTATGTAATTACACAGGCGTCTAGAGAAATAATCATATAAACGCAATATTTATTGACTAAAATATCCGTGATATCATTAACTTTATTCGATGAACATTTGGGATAATATTCTAATCTTTCGATCAATACATTGTAGAATTAATTAAACATTGAATGAGTAGCTCGACTTCAGTCTCTTTCCCAACGTTATGACGTGCGTTCCCTCCATCTTGGCTATATTTTCTTGGTAGTTTTTTTTTTTTTATGAGCTTTCTTTCTTGGTAGCTACAACGCATGAGTTTAAGAGTACTACTAGATTAACAAATAGGTATCATCGTTTTACTTTTGAAATAGCTAGGTGTAACCGTAAGTTCTATCCTAATAGTGTCTTCTTACACTTCTCTTTTTACACATTTTTCCTATAGAACATTCTTCTGTTTTTTTCCTTCCATGTCACAATTCAATCTTCAAAAAATGCAACGTCCATCACCATCACTTCCTGAATTACCTTCTTTATTGTCCTTTCTCCTCACAAAAGTCTTCGCTTTCTCTTTCACTCCCAGTAACCCCTTGCGTCTTAGTTGCATTATTGCCTTGCTTGGGGTGAAATGATTAAAAAAAAAAAAAATAAACAGAGTGACCAAAATTATCGTGTTCGCTTTGACAAAAATACTCTTGAGGAATGGAAGACTATTTCTCTTGTCTCCCTTGCAGGTCAGACTGTGTTCTCTAGCTTCTGGATGGCAACCAGTTTTGGAGAAGGATAACTCTAAATTTAAAACTGATTGAGCGAGAGGGTAGCAACTCCACTCTCTGAGAAACCTACTTGCTACGGACACCACTAACGTAGTGAGTCTATGGCCTTATACAATGGTGGCTACTACGTTAACAAAACAGTAACATAAGAATATTCGTCAAAGGAATCTTTTTATTTAACCCTGTGTGGCTTGTATGATTCAAAATTAAATTATTTTAAACAAATAACTTGTTATATCCCAGGTTGTTGAGATGAACAAAAAGAATGAAAATAAAAGACAAGTGTATTTTAACGCATAATAAAATAACTTTTATTCATTTACTGTCTGAGAACATCAAGGATTTTTTTGATTTGAAACCATGAATTTAACGTGAGTGTTACCATGTTTCATTCAGAAGTGCTACACTATGTACCGGGAAAGTGAAGGAACTCAATTCTATTCTGAGTTATCGTCCTTTATAGGGGGAAGAAATTAGCTTCCCTTAAGAGAATCATTTCTTATTTATAAAGCTTAGTTCAGCTGAGTCGCGCAAATATTAAACCTCGTATCGATACAAGCCTTTAACACAAACGACAATTACCCACAGAAAATATGAATATCTTGTGTTAGAAAAAGTTATTAATGTTTTCAAGAGGTTGTGTTTTATCATGGGATTTCGTTTCACACGTGACTGACTTATATATACATATTCTGAAAGGTAATGTTTCAACGTGATTTTTTATACAATTCGTGTGTGGATTTTCAATATTAAATGGTTTTTATGCTAAAAGGGGGGAAAAGAAACACGTGTGCATATAAATGACATGACGCACATAAATGCACAACACTATTTCTTCACATTGAATTTTACACAGCAATTGTCAACTGTTATATCCAAGGCTGTTGGGATGAAGAACAATGAATGAAAATAAAAGACAAGTGTATTTTAACACAGAATATTATAACTTTTATTCATTTACTGTCTCAGAGTGCCAAGGATTTGTTTGGATTGTAGACATGAGTTCCACGTGCATGTCAGCTTATCACCATGTTGGGTTCAGAAGGGCTGCAGTCCAACTAGCAGACAAGGGACGTAATTCCATTGTATTTTGAGTTATTGACCTTTATGGGAGGAAGTAAATAAGCCTCCACCAACACAAATGCATTTTGTATTTTATACCTCTTCAGAAAAAGTGGGGAAAAATCTGTATTTAAATTTATGACCAGTTTCTTTACTTTTCGTCTATTTGTTAATTTTTATCTCAACATTTTCGGTTAATAGAGTATCGACTGTAGTCGGGATTATCAATTGAATGCGAATAATCTTTTCCTTTGTGTGTACATTGTAGAGGTACATACAATTTTTTTTTAAATTCAGAGTTGTTCTTCACCTAGACCGGTTGCCACGCAAGGCTATAGAACCCTGTCTGTTCTGCTACTTTACCCATATCAGCGGGGAGAAAAGATGAATTCATACCTTTCCAAGAGTAAGTGAATGTAATAAACTCGACGGGAATTCGATTTTTATTAGTGGTTTTCCAACTAATTATTGTTATACTCTATTAATATAGCAACTAGAGAGAAATTGAAATAAATGTTTGCAACATGATCTGCGTGTATCTCTTTCCAGGCAGATGGACCAAATTATACAGTGTAGAAACCAGCCGTCGTCTAAAACTAAAGGTGAAGGAAAATCGAAAATAATATAGTCAATTTATAGAGGGAAAAAATGGTCATCAACCCACGTGGAGTTTAAAGTTAACAAACAGAAAACAATAGTGGATGATAGAATGACGATGGGAGATCACGTTTTCTTGTTGAAAAAAACCATTAGCACTGGAAAATATGGCGAGCGTACCAATGTACAACTGGTCTGCTGAAAAAATTGTGTCCATGTCACATTTGACAGAATCCCGTTTTAATAGTGTTGATTCCCAACTCCCGCAGAACATATTTCACGCCACTACAACGCCGACACTACCTTAGACAACGCCCTAGTCTCACAAGGCTCCCTCCTATACGGACCTGACTGTTGGCTTTAAAGAGCTCGAAATGTGACTCGACCTAACTCGACAACCGGCACCAGTCTTAAGCGATCCAATGTCAATTGTTCTTTGAAATTGGTAAGCAATGTTGCGTTGTGCTGTAATTGTAAGCCTTTTTGGTCTACGACTAAGAAACAAAATGAAATCAGTGTATTGTGTGTAACATCAAAATTGTCCAAATGGTGTAACATCAAAATTGTCCAGTTGTTTGATTAAGCTCTGAACCGTTGTATCTTACAAATGATTAAATATATCTTACTGGAATTCTCCGAGGTTTTTTTTTTTATAAAACTATTGGACTCTGAGCAATAAGAATGTATAATTTCTCTGCAAGCTTAACAGAAGTGTCGTGATGAACTCAATCAGAAAAGTAAATGGTGCCTCACACGTACGATTTCATTTTCAAGTTTTTTTTTTTTTACTGCTTTTTGGACGATCATAGCTGAAAATCCTCCATCACATGCCAAATGTCTTATGAATTAAGCAATGCTTTTAAAACTATCTGATGTGGCTTAGCGGCAGTTGTTTTTCCCAATATTTGAGACATCGGCAAGCTAAACTATTCACTCCAGTTGAGATGTTGGGAAGCATTTTTTTACCCCCCACAATCCTTTTTGAGATATGTTCTATTTCAAGGTCATTTAGAGACTATCTGTACTAAACGATGGATATGATGTCTTATTCATTCACAGGACAGTCATCATTGATGCAACAAATCTTCCCAGTTTTCCAAGGAATGGTACCATATTTGTGCCATATCATTAGATAATAATGATTGAAAAAAATATTATTTAAACATTTGCAGTATTCTTCATTTATACCAGAAAAATATAATGAATAGAATAAAAAAAATATTTATTGATTTTATATATTCATTAAAATGGCCTTTTGTTATTCCTAGATGTGGTTGCCATATCATCAGATGGTGTTGTCATATATATTTCAGTTCACTGTTTTGTTCATTATATCATATTTGTTAGTTGTATAACAATTACTTTTAACCTGAGTTAGTAATTTAAATATGACACCATCACAAATGTAAAACTAAAATGAAAAAAAAAGAGAGAGTCAGATATCCTGATATATGTGGCGTCGAATGGGACTACTGTTTCTTTGTTTCCTGGAAACACTCTGGGTACCAGTAAACGATGACTTGCAAACTGGTGTCGGTACACATACCACACTTTGAGTATAACCAGTCTAAAATACACCCGGCCTAAAGGTGATGTCCCAAATAAAAGGAGGACTATTAGAACCAGTCTAAAATACACGAGACCTGAAGAGGGTGTCCCAAATATAAGGAAGACTAGTAGAACCAGTCTAAAATACACCTGGCCTCAAGGTGGTGTCCCAAATAAAAGGAGGACTAGTAGAACCAGTCTAAAATACACCAGACCTGAAGAGGATGTCCCAAATATAAGGAAGACTAGT